TCTGTTTGTTTGGCTCTACAAAGTTAATCAGCTAATAAGTGATGTTATACCAAGCACAACTGTAGATATAACAGACCATTGATGTTTAGTTAGTGTGAATATATGCTAAAAATGTGTATATAGTATAAGTATATAGTATAAACACATGGGCTTAGTTCATTCCTACAAAGTGACAAGAAAAAAACCAACAAAATAAAACTTTGACATGATAAGATAACTCTTGAAATCTGATAAATTCTATTTTCTGGGTGTTGGCATTGATTGTATTATTGTTGCTGTTGTTTATTTCATTTTAATATAAGCTCACAAAGTGCATCCCAGGGAGGCCTCAAATTCACTATTTAACTACAGATGACAGAATTCGTGAACATCTGCCTAGTATCCCAATTTCTGACCTTACAGGCTTATGACACCATGAACAGCTCAAAGAAATTAACATAATAGATTACGACACTCATTAGTTAATATCTTGAATAAAAATTTAAACTGTTGCTATCAATAGCATTGTATTTTGAGTCACAGAAGATGTATGGGAAGGCTTACCATGTACTAGAAAAAAGATGTATATTCTGTGAAAAACTCATCAGGCCTATGTGGTTTCACTTTTTTTAAAGAAGCACACATTTGATTGTAGTTAAAGATAAAAACATGAACAAACACCATCCAGGGCATCACTCATGTGACAGGAAGAAGTTGTTTATTCATCAACATTGACTTTGTATTGTTAGCCTGCTGAGAGCAAGCATTGGACTGCACATCCAGGATGCTATGTCAGAATCCTGACTGATGTAGAGAGGGCAACTATGAAAGGCCCAGATGCTGAGGGAACAGTAGCAAGAGGTTACACGGTTCAGAGCATTGGCCCCACTGGTCCAATTTGGATGAAGCAGAGGAAGTATAATAAAGCTTTTCAAGCCCAGTGCTCCTCAAACTTGAGTTGCTTCAGAATCATCAGCAGAGTGTGTTTGAATACAGATGTATGGCTCACTCCCTCAAAGTTCCCATTTTAGTAGGACTTGGAATTCAAGGTTTTCTATTTCCTTAAAACTACCTTGTGAGAGACATACTGAGCAGCATAATCTTCTTTTTACTGTCAAAAATAAAGCTCAAAGAAACAGCCATGCTGAAAGTATTCAAAAGATTGCTTTTGTTAAAGCGATGACTCCAAGACATTCTTTGCTGAATCACAGGGGAAACTGCAGTTTAGAAACTATTTCTTCCCTGCTCTGATTCAATAATATTCAGGAATGACTTGACTAGGCAATGAGGCTTAGGAAGCAGCAAGTCCTTAAATGGAATCCCTGTGTCTCATTCGAGCAATTCATTTGAGGTTTTTTGAGGAATACTTCCACAGCCTTGACTTAATAAATACCTACTTTAAGTAATATAAAAATTGCACTTGAGATCCCAGCAGAGTGTGGTTTATTTTCTAGGTCTCTGGGGGCATGATGAACATTTAGAGGTCACAGGACAATTTGTGGTAGTCAACTCTCCCCTCCACCAAAGGGATTCTGGCAATTAGAATCTGAGGACAGAATTTTGTGTTAAGCTCTTTATTCTATACACTTTCTTACTGGACTTGAATCAGAAAGTTTGAGGTGATGAAAATGTTCTTAATTAAATATCCATTCGATTATAAAAATGTCTCTATTGACATTTTAATTTATTCAAAATTTCTGGAAAATATTGAATTGGGCTAAAAAGAATATGCAGACAAAATAAGAATAGTAGGACAGCAGTCATTGATAAAACTAACTATATGACAGAGTAGTCACTGAACTATTCAATTTAATTACAAATATAATAAGACCACCCAAAAATAACTTCTAGGGTTTTTCTTTGCTCTATCCTACTTCTTTGGAGCTTAATGACCTTTAAATTATAACAGAATTCCTAATCATTGATAAATAGTTTTAAATTAGTTCTTCCAATAATCATTTCCTTGACAGTGTTGAAGAATACCAAATCAAGAACTTCTTTTTGTTTGTTTGTTGTGTTCTCCATAAACTATTATTTGTATATTTACAAATCTATGACTCAAAATCCATACCCCAATGAACAAAATACTGGTCGAGTATTCCATTAGAAACAAAACAATAAACAGCAATGTAACCTGAAACTGTAAGACAAAGAAACTGAGAAAATTTAGAGAGAAGAAAATACATGTATTGGAACGACAGTTGTAAACCACAGCATTCACTATCTTTCCTACTCCTTTGTGTCATATTGGGTTTCACTTGGAAAAAGGAACACACCTTCCCCACTAGCATTTCTTTTGTAGTTGCAAAAGAAATTTCCATTTAGGACCTAATTAATGGGCATTGAGAAAAAATACATTATCCTGTTCATCTTTAGATCTAACAATTTCAACATAAAATTGTATGATCAATAGTTACACAGTGGTTCACCTTGTGAGAATACAGGCAGCAATTTCTAGCATTATTTGAAAATGTACTCTATGTTGAGTGGTGTTGGGGGATATTTAATCACAGAGTTTGCATTTTTTTGTTAATTAAATGAAGTTAACATTTGGTCAGGAAGCAGAGTTAGCCACTAGTTGAAAGAATGTAATCATAGAGCATCAGACATCTGGAAGTGACAGATTCACTGGAAGTAGCCGAGAGGGATTTGAAGTGGCATGGTTTTTGTTTTGTTTTGGCTGACAGAAGAAAAGTTTAGCTAGTTAATACTGGACCTCTCTGAGGTAGTGAATTTTCACCTCTGTCTTCGAATCTTAAGTGTTATTAAAATAGAAAAATAGAGATTTATTTGAAGCTACCTTTAGTGGCAGTGACAGAGCTGGTGCCTGCAGGCACATAATTCCCACCAGGCTGTGATTTGAAGGGGCTGGAGCATTGCTAGAGAAGCAGGCTGGTAACAGCAGAGTTGAAATTTCTGGCTGAAACTGCAGTATATTAAGGTGTAGCCATGTACCAAAGTTAGAACAACAAAGTAGTGTCTCAAACCTGCAATTCAAAAGTTTAAAAGGCCGAGGCAGGATGGCTACCACACTATGAGGCTAATCTATGTAATATAGAAAGTTGAGGACAGCCTCAAGTTAGAGTGAGGGGCTCTGTCTCAAAGCCAGCATACATTCTAAAGGAATGCTAGAATTTCAGATCACTTGGCAAATTATCCTGTCTACTACAGCAATTGACACTCATTGAAAATTCAAAAAAGAAAGTAAAGTTTTTAGCACTGCCACATAGGGTGATGACAACGAACTGACAGCAGAGAAAACTGCCAAATACCTGCAAACTAAAGGACCAATGGCAACATGGGAACTAATACCCATCAACATAATGTTCCTTTTGATAAGCACTCCAAAGGGGATGGTAATTCTTTTCAGTGTCTCTACAAATGTCAAGAGTACATTCTGGAAATTATAAAGTACTTGACAAGCTACTGGGGCAATACTACAAAACAGCAGGTCAAGTGTTAATGTTATAAAAAATATACTTTGATAATATTATACAATGGAGAGAATTAAAGAACAGGATGAGCAAACGAAGACTGTAATTCAATATTGCAGGCAGTATGATATACAAATGAACAAACAACAACAAAACTAATGGAAGAATTGTTTGGATAAGTTATATAAATATTATTTTAATTGCTTTGATAATTGTAGCATGGCCACATAGGAATGAGACTAAATAATCTGAGTGAAAGTAATACTGATTCTATACATACCTTGGCAATATTTTAAGCTTAAGTTTTTTCACTATTACACAGGAAAAGCACTCTGAGATAACGTAATACTTTGCCCAGAATTTTGCTAGATAGGCCTGAACTCTGTATTTTCAAACTAACCAAAGACAAAATGGTTAAGGATAAATGTTGCCAACTAGACAACTTATGAAAATAAGCAAAGAACTCATAAATTATCTGCTTTTGCTAATCTCACAGTTTACTAATTTTAACAGTTCACTAAATACTGCTTTTCAAAGCAGAGGAATTATAACACAGGACTATGAAGGCAGTTACAGATAAAAGAACTAGACTCTACGCTGTGATTCCTATAGAGTGTAGGAGTACAGACAGCTACTACTATAACTTCAAGTTTCCAATGATAGAATAAGGAACTACATGAAGTACAGCTTATTGAGATTACAGAACGTTTATTGTAGTAGAAGACAAAGATGTAATCAGTTGACTGAATAATTTATTAAAATAGAATTCTGGAAAAATTTAATAAATGATTAGTAAAGTTAATATATATATAATGTTAAAAAACAAACAACTGAATTTGAGAAAAATCATGATGTATTTTGTAATATTTTGAAGAAAGACAATAGAATATATGAATAATCTCATTTTGTGTGGTTTACTTACTAATTGAATCTTTATGGTCAGTGGGGTATTGCCCTGAGAACAGTTTAAGGATCTGTCCCATCAGCCTAAATATATGGACAGACTGCATGTCAATGATACACTGGGAAGAAATGTAAGAACACTGTAGACATCTGCCATAGCTATAGTTGTCCTGCCTGTGAATCATGTTCCCCACTGTGTTGAACACAGCTTTTCAAAATACAGAAGGATGCTTAAGATAAAGATAGTATCTATAATCTCATATAAATGGTCAATCCAGATGAATCTCTTCATAAATAATTTCTAGTGTCTTCCACTGTTGTGCAACTCGACGCTGTATAGCATTGAAGTTATCACAACAGTCCCAGTGCAGAGATGAGAATCGAGAGTCCCAGGTGTGTTTGTGTATCGAAACTACATGGAGTTATCTCCCCATCCCAGGTTGAATTTATCTTACAAACTAATCAGTAATAAAATATGCTTGCTGTCTGCCAATTGCATATATTACTGAAAGGGCAACCGACTATAGATTCTAGAAATGCTTTATTCTAACTGATTGGCAGTAATACGTTTGATAGATAAAGCTATGCAGCACTTAGAATTATTTCTTTTACTATATATTGCCTAAATTAGATATCATACACTTACAAATCATGTCTATATGAGGCTTACAAGAACAAGCTTACCAAGGCTGGGGTACCCAGGTGTAGAAGGGTCTCCTCCTGGGTTCAGTGTCACCATAAATGTCTCAGAGCTAAGATCTTCAGACTTTGGTATATCACAAGGGTCAGTGTAGAGAAGAGCACCTCCAAACCCAGCCTTTTCCAATAAGGAAAGCTAAATAGGATAAAAAACAGGTGAAGGCAATATACACATTAGACGCTCACATATCACTGCTTCATTATTGTTCACAAATGAAATAATTAACAATTCTTACAACATTTTTTAAAAGTCACTTTCATTTCCTTTTTTTCCCCAAAATTTGAGTCATGCACTATTGTTTTAGTTTTCTTTTTTTATTTTTATAAATATTATAACCAAAAGCAACTTGAGGATAAAGAGTTTATTTGTCTTTGTGGTAGTTTGGATGCAATTGGCTCCCATAAGCTTATAAAGAGTGGTGCTATTAAGAGGTAAGGCTTTTTCAGAGTTGGTATGACGTTATTGGAGAAAGTATGTCACTATAGAGGTCTCATATATGATCAAGCCCTGCCCAGTGTCTCTTTGCACTTCTTATTTCCTGAAGACCAAGATGAATTAACTGTCAATTTCCTTCTCTAGCACCATGTCTGCCTACATGTCACCATGTTCCTCCATGATGATCATGGACTAAACCTCTGAAACTGTGAGCCTTCCAATCAAATGGTTTCCTTTATAAGAATTGATATGATCATGGTGTCTCTTCAAAGCAACAGGAACTAACTAATGTAGTCTTACAGTTCCACATTATCAAGGGATTTCAGGGCAGGAACTCAAGACAGTAATTCAGTAGAAGGAATTGAAGAAAGACTCTGGAGCAACACTGATTGCTAACTTTCTTCTGCTGGCCTGGTTTCCTGTAAAGCCCAGAACTACCTGTCCAAGTATAATACATACAGTGGTCTGGGCCCTCTTTTATTTAATAACAATTAAGAAAATATGTCACAGATATGCTCTCAGACCAGTCTTAATAGAAGCAGTTCTTCAATTGAGATTCAAGTAAGACTAAGTTTGTATCAAGTCAAGAAAAATATATTATATTAATTACTTTTAACACATGAAGAAGTGTACGTGTGGAACATGAATGAATTTTGTAGTTTTATTTTTATTTTAAATATGGCATTTTGTTATTCTTTGGAAATAACATGCATACAATGCATCTGAATAATACTTCTTCTCATCCCCCCTTGCCCCATCCTTCCAACTTGTTTTTGATTCCCTGCCAAGTCCCCTTCCAACTGTATGTCCTTGTTTTGTTGTTGTTATGTTCTGATTTAATTTTCAGTCACCTACTGAGTCCAATGATTTCTGCACATATATACACGAGCTTAGTTTTAAGTCAGTTACTGTAGCACTGGGCAACCACAGCTGCCCTGAGTTCACAATTCAGTGTTATACATGTTTAGAAGATACACTTTCTACCCATTCCTTCCTGATCTCTGGCTCTTACAATCTTGCTGAGCCTTAGGGCAAGAGTTTGATATAAATGTCCCCTGCTCAATCAGTAAGTCCAATCAGAGGTCTTGACTACTCCCTTCTACCTCCTAGGCAACATTCCTATATTGTTCATATATGATTGTTTTCTCTGCTATAGACTTTTTCATTCTTTCTCTTCTTTAATTGTCCAAAGATTAAATATTTTTGTGGGACTAGGAAATTATCTCATCATATAGAGTTCTACTTTTAGATTAATGCTGTTCTGGCTATTCTGTCCTTCTCCAGAGAAGAAAGCAGCCAGATACTGTTGTACATCCTCCAGAGGCAAGCCTGTCCTACCAGTTAAGAATGGAATACCTCTGCTTATGCTTTTTGGAAACTAGCTACTGCAATGAACCTTCCAAGATCCTGCCTGCATGCCCAACACCACCTGGGAGAGAGGGCAGTTAAAGCATTCCAAACAACCTCCTGAGAGTCTTGCTTGTGAAGAATCCTTTCTTGTCTGATTCTACCAGGAAATACTTGAGAGCAGACCAAGGTTACCTCCTTCAAGATGCTTGATGGAAAGATTTATTCTGTTATTTAAAAATACATAATGTAAAATTACAACAAGAAGATGATCTTGACATTTTCAATGTTGTAGTTTTCTTTTTAAAGTAGCTTAACTTATTTATGTTTGTTATGCACCTTAGTGTGACTTAATATGATATGAATAACAATAATCATGATTTGCTGTGTCTATTTGTTATCTATCAAAGATAAAAGTAATTAGAGAGCATTAAAGCAATAAAACAAAGATTAACCCAATGTTGAATGTAGATTGTTACTACTGATTCAGAAATATGACATTACTTCTCAATTACTACTCACGTTGTCTACTGAACTGTGCAATAGACTAAAGACTGTCACTCTCATCCCTACTAGACCCTGTTTTGAGGGCAAGGGCCAAGCTTTTTCACTATATCACACACACGCACACACACAAATACACACACACACCATATACACATACCACACACACCACACTGACACACATACACAACACACCTGTCACACATGCAGCACATACCCACACAACACACACATCATATATATACCAACACATGTACCACACACACCACACATACCACACATATACCACACACATCACATGCACTTACACACATACCACACACTGACACATACCACATACACATACATCACACACACCACACAATACACATACACCACACACATCACACACGGTTATACATACACCACATACATACACATACATAACATACACATGTACACATACACCTCACACACTCTGCACACATACATACATACACATACATCACACACACACCACATACTTACACACCATGTACACCATATACACCACACACACATCACACACACTTACACTTACAACACACACTGACGCATACTACACACAAATACATCACACACATCTCACACACACCACACACACACATCACACACACACATACACATACATCACACACACATGTACACACAATCATGTCTCACACATGCTGCACACACACACTATACACACACAATACACACACACACACATACATACACACCCTACTTTATTTTTTGTTGCTGTAATATGGAGAACTCCAGCTTAAGAGAGGAAATGATTTATTCCACCTACAGGCTTACATGTTACAGTCCATCATGAAGGGAGGCCACAGCAGTAACTAAAGACAGGAACTTGATTCTGTAAATATGGGTAAATTCTGCTCTCTGACTTGCTTTCAGACTTACACTCACCTACCTTTCTTACACACTCTAGGGCCACTGTTCCAAAGGTGGCATCTCTAACATTGCCTATGCCCTCCCAAGTCGATCAACAATCAAGGAAATGTTTACAGACATGACATGAGCAAAGGCTAATCTGATGAAAGCAGTTCTTCACTTAAGTTAACAACCAACATCAGCCATCACCCAAACAACATAAGGTATGAAAAGAAAATGAAAACAGTTACTTAAAATATAAGTATCGGTTTTAATGTCATTTGGTGAAATGGTTTATACTTTATAGTTTTGGGTGTAATAAACAATGATGTGTACTAATTAAAAATAATTAGAATACCATTGCCAGTGAGTCTGGGAAACAGGGAGGGTCCCAAGAGAGACATGCATGATACTCCAGAGTAGGGGAGTGAAGCAAGATCTCCTGAGCAGATTGGGAGCATGGCAGGAGGGAAGAGGGAACCAGGAAAAAGAGAGGGGAGAAGAGGAGGGGAGAAAAAGATATAGGGGAGCAATAAGGTTGAATAGGGCAAAGAATGGAGGAGGCCAGGATAAGAGCTACCATAGTAGAGGGAGTCATTATAGGCTTGAGAAGAGATCTGGCATTAGTGGAATTTCCAGAGATCTACAAGGATGACACCAACTGGCAAACTAAGTAATAGTGGAGAGGCTACCTTAATTGCCCCTTACTGATAATGAGATTGATGACTACCTTATATACCATCCTAGACCTTCATGCAATAACTGATGGAAGCAGAAGCACACACCCACAGCTAAACACTGAACTGAACTCCCAGTGACAGAGAGGGAGAAGTGATGAGCCAAGGAGTCAAGACCGTGCTGGTGAAACCCACAGAGACAGCTGACCTGAACAAGGGGGAGCTCTTGGACCCCAGACTGATGGTTGAGAGACCATCATGGGACCCTCTTGAATTATGGTGTCAGTGAAGAGGCCTTAGCAATCTCTGGGGCCTTGGGTAGTAGAGCTGTGTTTGCCATGGTGTACGAATGAACTTTTGGGGCCCATTCCATATTAAGGGATCCTTTCTCAGCCTGGACACATGGGGGAGATCCTAGGCCCTGCCCCAGATGAAGTGACAGACTCTGGAGATCCCCCAGGGAGGCCCTCATCCTCACTGGGGAATGGTGTGGGGATTGGGTGGGGGGCTGAGGGGACTGGTAGAGGAGCAAGGGAGGAGGAGTGGGAGAAGGAGCTGGGATCAACATGTGAATCAAGCATGTTTCTAATATAAATTTAATTTAAAATATATTGACAAATATGATTTCAGAATTAATTAAAATGAACACCTTTGATTAAGAATGCTCAGATTTTATTGTTCAGTAGCAAGATGTGATCATTATGAAATGGACATTTGTGAAATAATTCTAGGCCCTGCCCTATATGAAATGACAGACTATGGACACCCCCATGGAGGGCCTCACCCTCCCTGGGGGAATGAGGGGATAACGGGGGGGGGATGGGGGGAGGGCACGGGAGGAGGGGAGGGAAAGGGAGAGGGACCTCGTACTGACTTGTGAAGCAACCTTGTTTCTTATCTAAATTTAAAATGGAAAATAAAAAAATATTAATAAAAAAAAAAAAAAAAGAATTAAGAATATTATACCTAAAAGCATATTCATGTTAAATTTTCCAAAATCCATGAATAAAGCACGGTATCTTAGGAAATTAAACTGAAAAAAAAATACTTGGTGCCCTTGCAAAGGACCTGGGTTCAGATCCCAGCACCCACAAAACGTGACTAACAGTCATCTGTAATTCCAGTTCCACAGAATATTATGCCCTCTTCTGGTCTCCTCGGGCACTGCATGCACATAGTGTACAGACATAAATGCAGGCGAAATGACCATATGCATAAAATAAAAAGAAATTAATCTTTAACAACAAGAAGCAAAATAAAAAAAAAAAAAAAAAAAAA